TCATGGAGCTACTAGTCTTGGCCTTACCAACAGAATCTCAACCCCTGATACCTTGTAGCCAGGAGGGTCCACCAGCCACAGCTGAAGCCACAAAGGAGGCAGTACCAATACCTGAAGGTACCAGCACCAGCCACACCATTCAACCAAGTCGAACTGAAGTTCAACCAAGTCAGGAAAGAGCAGGCAGAGCCAGCCAAAACCAGCCCCACAGGTCTGGCAACAGGCACAGACTGAACAACGGGTAAGAGGCACCCCCAACAGACGCGACATGAAGGAGGAGGGTGAGTGAACAGAAGCAGACAAACAGAAAGTAGGCACCACTTGCAATGGGTGAAGCTGCCAACCACAATCTACAAGCGAACCACTCAAACGCACAGACAACACGAGTGCCTGTCAGCCAATTGTCCCACACCACCTCAGGCAGTAATGAAAAACTATACCAGGGGGTAAGATTTTTCAGGGTCAAAGCCATCCCCACCGAGGTGAGGAGGAGACACCTGACTGAACCACCGTAAATGCCAGAGGGACAAAACCTTCCAGAGAACAGCAATAAACAACATCGTAAGATTCCGACTGTAGAAACATAATGTAATGATGAGGGGCTGGGTAGGTACTGCCCTGCCACCTCAGAAGTGATGTGGCCGGTATGACGAATTGAGGACACAGGATGGTCATCAAGTAAACCCGCGGGCATTTTGTATCCTGAGAACTAAGAACTCTGTTAAAACCCAACAAGAAACATGAGCTGGCCCAAAGAATGACACGGGTGATCCCCCCAAACACAAAGTTCAATCCCCCTAATCGAAAGCAAAACCTACGAGTAGACGATAGACAGGAAGCCAAAGACATTTTACCGAAAGAGGCTCGTAAGCGACTGTGATGAATAGTTCGAAGTCCCACCATTGCAAGATAACCAGCAGGTAATAAAACAAGAAGCAAACAAGTAATCTATCACGTAACGCTAACAGACCTCAACATCAAGAACCCTGGGAACTACCGAGCCAACTCAGATATCTCCTCCAGAATCCAAGGCCTTAAGGCCTATTATGGGTACGAAAGAAACACTCAGGGTGAAGCAACGGTAAGAACCAGGAAAAGTACTTAGAATAAAGTGTGAAGAACCTATCCTCCTCAGCCATACCAGCCTCCTTATATAGTGTTCTTTCCGCCCATAGTCATGTGACCCAGAGTGGTCACATGTGTGAAACCAAACCATAACAAACTAGTCATATGACCAAAGTAGTCACATGCTCAAAACCCATGACCTCGTAGCAAGGTCATGTGCGAAAACTCATAAACCAATCATAATACAATAAACCAGCCATATGACTCAAATTAGTAACATGCGCAAAACCCATAACCTCACAACGAGGTCATGTGCCAAATATCAATATAAATACAATTTCTTACTATCTAGACCAAGATAAACAAAGCATTAAATGAGATATTCAAACTTAGAATAAACTCTCTGTAAACTTTAAAACCACCTGTTTTATTCCTATAATACTGTAATATATATATACCTAGTAACTCCTCACTTCATATCATTCTTCTTTTTGTACTAACAGAATTTAGAGAAATTTTCCAAGCCCAGAAATGATACAGCTGAGGTTATTTTTATTATGATGTCCAAAATTGCAAAATCAAGGATAGCCTTTAGCAAAGTATTATTTCCATAAATTGTTTCAAGCTAGGCCTAGCTTTCCCAAAAATTACACTTTCATAGAATAATCTCTAAGTATTGAAACACTCAGGCGAACTCACACAGCCAGTAAACAAAAGTCTGAATCCTACAATTTCTAAATTATCCCCGGCCCCGCAATATTGTGAAACAGAAACAGCACTACGCCCCTACACCTTCGGATACCAGTTCAACTTCAAAGAAACACTACAAGTCTCATATCTCGATCTGAAGCTGGAAAAGGATATATCGCCACCTCATTGGCGATTCAAAGTCAGAAGCGATGGATAGATAGGGCGATTCAGCCACGCGGGAATGTTATGAAACTGGAAGACCATTCGACCAGACATGTATCGTGCGTGATCCACGACAGCTCTGAACTCACCGACAGACTGGTAACTGGTAAAACAAGGCGAAACTAACAATGTTACACCCGCCCCACAAGTTGTCCGGGTACCTCCCACCCAGCCCCACCCCACCCCCCTTCGCTTCACTGGAAAAATGGCAAAGATAATAACACATCCAACCAAACGATGAGCCATCCACCCTAAAACTCGCCACAATTGCTACCCGAACTCAGGTTCAGCCTATCGCGTTGCTCAAATATGCATATGGCTTGCTTTACCACGAGGTGGGTTACAGTCTGCCCTAAATTTCCTTCCTCCCGGTTCCCTTCTCGTGAGAGAGAATAATAGAGGATAATGATAACAAACTTCTATGTACGGTTGCGTCACGCTCGCAGTGTGGCGCTCAAAATTCTCTGACCTCGACCGGTCGCGGTATACTTGTGGTCGACCACAATAAGTAACACATCGATAGCAGGCCCACCAAGACCAGAATATGCTGAAAAGTACACCTTTCTTTGGCCTATGAATGTGTACTATACTATTTCGCAGGGCGATATCCCTTGAAGTGTTAATACGCTGGAATGCTGTATTTCATTGTACAACACTGTACTGTCCCTGCACTTGCACTGGGGGGGGCGACAAGAGCCAACTCAACTTGCTCGGTAATCTACTCTACGGCACCACACTCTGATACATTGTGTCTCAAAGCTAGACTCATTGCAGGTTTCCCCGCAGGGTACTGTACTAGTACAGGGTTAGCATAGTGGAAAAGCAATGAGCAAAAGTGTACTGGAGTACTACACAGTACGTACGAGTACAAGTGTTCTTGGCAAGGCAGATTGGTAGTACGGTAACTGGGTGCTATGCTGCGCCAGGGTCAGGTCTAAAAACAATGGGGGGTGAGCTACCAAATTTCCAGTATCACAAATATGACCAATTAAGAGGGTCTTTATTGCCCATTGCTTCAGTCAATGTTAAAGAGGGATAACTTCTAGAAGAGGTATGATACCCGGTATCCAATTCAATGTATCTATGGAAGAAATAAGCCTTTATTGCCTCCTGTTGAGCAATGGAAGGTTCGTGTTTGCAGATGGGCCAGTTGCGCTGTAGAGCACTGTACGAGTACCACTCGCCAATCTTGACCAGAACCAACAACACCATCCCCGTTCCGTCCCATTTCTCATGCCTGACCCTTGTATGATATAGTAGATTGTTGCCACAATACCGTACTCGAGTACAGTACTCGCGTAGTGCTGCACCGTACCCGCTTAACCCCAAAGGAGTGCAGAGGAAGCGTTACCGACAAACACCACCGCCACCAAAATGAGCCCCCAAAGTGTCCCCACACTTCGAAAAAAGAAAATAAGAGATATATCATACTTTTTTTTTTCTGCCCATATCTAAAACCTCTCACAGAGCAATATGACTTTCCAGTACCAACGATACTTCTCCCGGCCCCACTCCTTCCATCCATCCATCCATCCATCTTACCTCCAGAAATCACACCCCGCTCATCACCCTTTATCCCGCCCCCCAAACCATATGATACCGGATAGGTACATCCTCGCCGTACTAAAAAGCAACTCCCTCTTCTTCTCGTTTTCTTTTTTCCCTCTCATCCTTTCCCTCGGCAAGTCCCCACCTCACCACCTTCATTTTTAAATGAAAATGAAAATAATAAAATAATAACAAAAAACCCTGTGCTGTGCCTGACCGAAAGGAGTACATTAGCCAAGAGCTTTGGCGGCTGTGGGCTTGGAGACTACCGGTATGTTCGGGGTGTGGGGAAAGTGCAGTACAGTACTGGTACTAGTACTGTAATGGCAGCGGGAACGGCAGGAAAAGCAAAAGGAGAAAAAGGAAATTAAGAAAAAGCAAAGTATTGGTTTGGAAGGGTATGTACTGGTTTTGCTGTTTTAATTGAACTTGGAGAGGAAGGGAGGAAGGGAGAAGGGTAGTACTCGTATGGATATCATATAGCGGGAATTTATTATCATAAAGTAGCAATAAATTACGTAATACACATGAAACCAGAAATAGGAAGGGCGAGGGGAATGGAAGAAACAACAGCAAGCATTAAAGGTTCTAGTTAAGGTTCTCCTTCAAAAGCGTTCTAACAATCATTGCACAGAGACACAAATCATTTTTCAATTTCCAACCTCAGTCACCTTGCACCCGTAGCACCAGTGCCCTTTCCCCTCCAACAACCCCTCCCTATATTTCACCATCAACTAAAAAAATAAAAAAAATAAAAAAAATAAAAAAAGCCCCTCGACAATTGTATTTTTGCCGCCCACACATACCAGTCTCTTAGCAACAATCTAGCTACAATAGATTGATAGATAAAAACCAAACCTCCGATGAAAAAACGTGCACAATTGTACCATTTTCATTTTTCCGCAATCGCGCTTCACCCGCTCCCGCTACCCCACAATTGATAACGCACAACTCCTCCGATATGACCAGTACGATGTGCTCTCAGAAACGTTAGAAACCTCAACACCCCTCCCTGCTTACCCACTTCCCACCTAGTGGGTGTTTTCCAGTCTTCCAAAAAAAAAAAAAAAACCCTAGTTGCCCGCACCCTCCATCTTACGCAAGATGGATAATAATACCCAGAATGAATGAAAAGAAAGTAGGAAAAAAATGAAAAAAATGAAGCGTTTTAAGTAAGGCATATATGGAAATGGCAATTAAGAATGAGATAAGACCGAGGATTGTATCAACAATGAGGATGGGGAAATCCCTTCTGCCGAGGGGAATATGAGGTGGGGTGAATCAAAAACAGTCTACGAATCTAAATGAGGGGAAATATAAGGAAAGTATGAAGGGAATACAAACAATAAACACCATAAGACCCAAAGTTATAGCAAAGGCAAAGTGGATAGCGGCACAAAGCAGAACGGGAGATAAGAATATTGTGAGAAATAACAGAAGTTAGGTTAACAACTCTGTGAGTGAAGAAAACATCTCTATTTTTGAGTGACGAGTGTGAACTCCTCACTAAAATTATCCCTATTCCCATCATTGCTTCCATCGTTGTTTCCGCAGAACTGCCAGCAATCTTCCTCGAGAGATTCGAGGCCGTCGTCTTCGCTGTTGTAGAGCGTCTGAGAAGTTCCACTATGCGGGAAGCTAGAGTAACAAGTGGAGTAGTCGACTTGTTGCGCAGCGGCCCCACGGGTGGCTTGTGCTAGTAACATACGCTCATCGCTAGTGTACATTGCAGCTAGCCCAGAATGGTCTTGGTCGTCGAAGATGTGTATCCCAACTGGTTGGGTATCGTTCTCTTCTCTCTTGAAAAAGCCTTCAGGGAGGGTAGGGGAATCTATTGACTGTCCTTCATGGGCCTGCTGCGATTCACTACCCCCGTGCTCAGCCATTGGCCCTATTGATCCGGATGGGCAGGGAGAGGATGCAGGCTTTGAAGCCGTTCCTTTCCTGGTCGACTTGCGTCTACGCTTGACGGTAGATCCTCTCAGGTAGAATTCGTCCGTTGCTCGTTTCTTAGCATTGGGTGGAGACTTCCTGTATCTAGTCGTTGACTTGACGCCATCCATTTCCGCTTCCTTCGAAAGGACCCAGATGTACCCTTTCCCAGGGTCCGAGGGGGGGCGATCTTCCTTCAAAAATGCCTAGTCCAATACACCCTCGTCAGCTAATGCTACCAAGGGGTAGATGAAAGACAACCAGTGCTCAACAAGAATCATCAGAATTTAAGAGACTCACCCCATTCATGGACAAATTGTGACGAATACTGTTCATCCATCCACGGCCCTTAATCTTCCTGAACTTTGGGATCTTCTCACGAAAGTAATCGTAGATCTGAGATAGGACCATTCTGCGGGTAGGGGTACTCATCAAGGCTCGATAGATCAAAACAGCGTAGGGGGCGTCGTCATCCTGATCCTCTTCTTCCATGTTTGAGGAGGTCTGCTCGCTGCTTAGCTCCTCTTTCCGATGCTGAATTTGCTGCTCGTCTTGTGAATCCACCTTTCCGACATCCTCCCTGGATTCCGGGAGGTATTCCTCATCTCCGACATGGGAGCTAGGTGCGAGATCTGATGTCTGAAGAGGGGATAAAAATGCCTCCTCTTCGTCCTCCGTAAGCTCGTCTACTTCGGGTTCCATCCTGTTAGGCATATCGATACGGTGGGTTCTGTGGAGGGAACTCTCAACAGGAAAAAAACTCCCGTGTGTAGAAATAGGAGATAGAAGGAATGAGTTGGGGGGAAGGTAAGCGGGTGTAGGGTGATGGAGGTGGGAAAAGCTACCCTCGTCTTCGAGCTTCGTAGGGAAATCTTCGTAATCCGAAATTGGCGAGGGTCTCTGGTAACTACTCTCCGGTGCATTTTCGAATTGGTGAACAGAAGGATATGCCCCTCTGGTGTTAGGATATCGGGAAGGAAGTAGGTCCTGCCCTCGTACATAAGGATTTTGATGCTGGTCCGAGGAAGATAGAACAGTATAGTCGAAATTTGGATAGGGATTCGAGTGATTAAGGGTGAGATCGGAAGTGGTGTCAAGTCCACGAAGCCCCCCATTAGAGGTCAACACCACCTCAATCCCGGCCGTACATACGGGTCCCAAACGTTCTTGACCAGGAGCACCGCTATAGGTTGGTGGGAAATTTCCTAGATTTGGCCGATCTCCCGAAGACTCTTCACCCTCCCATTCCATAGAGAATGGCAGCCCAGGATAGCTAAGGTTCTGATTCCTGTAGATGCTCATGCCACTTATAACACGTGGGAAATGGCGGATATCTGTGGGAAAAAATGTGGTGAATTATGGCACCTTTCCACCCAGCAAGTAGCTCAGCCAAATTCTAGGAAGAGGAGAAAGACGGAGGGGAAATTTCAAGCGGGGATAAGAAAATCAGGCACCGAAAGAGATGGCAAGTAGGAATTGTAAGGAAAAAGAGGGGGGTAAAAAAAAAAAAAGCGCTGACAAGAGACTTGATCCCTCCGCCCTATATCCAGTCAGATACGTGAGATCAAGATGCAATAAGTGTTCTAGAAGGGGATAAGTCCCCTGCTCAGAAGTCGTCTCTATTTGAGGGGAATCGAAGGTTCTTTAAGTCAGCTGGGTTCTGCGGCCTGCCAACTCAGTCTCTCTGCCACCTCTCTAACGGAAACGAACATCATCACAGATGACCGACCAGTGGGGATCTCTAGGCACTACTATGATTTTGACAACATTTTAACCAGATACGCCACACATCACACAGGAGGATATATCCTTGTTGGAAATAGGGATTTAGAGGTGCACATATGGCCTTCAAAGATGGGGGGATGTTTTCGCCATATGGATCTAGTGAATTGTCTGGCAATTCTGGGGGCGTGCGGCGAGGGGTGGGATGAAATGTTGCTGCTCAGCAGGAGCGGAGAGCACAGGGGAGCGGGAAGGCAGAATCTCGGGCAAATGCAGCGATGGAACACCAAAAACGAAATATATCAACTGGGAGTGTAGCGGTGGAGCAGCCCTTCTGGCGAAGTAGTGGTAAGGTTGGAGTGGACATAATAATTCACCGAAAATGGTGTAAGTTGCAGAAGCCATAATTATGATATACCAGCTTTTCGATCCCGATGATAATAAAAACCCCAAAACTCTCCGAGACGCTCATAATCTCAATCGATAATCCCCTAGGCACATCATACAAAGCATATCGATTCTGGAGTATCATCGCATTTAGTTAATTAAAAGCCAAGCAAAACGCATCGCAGCATGGGATGCCTCTCGGTGCTATAACCATCGAGAATCCTAGGCAAAGGTCAGACTTTGCAGTGTACGGGACATAAAATTGAAAGGTGTCTAGTGCCTCGCCAACGTTATTTCTCTAACATATAATGTACCGGTACTGTAACTAAAAGGAAGGAAGGGAAAAAGGAAAAGAAAAAATGGACAAATCCTTGCCCCTCAGCGCTTGAACGAGCGGATAGCTTCCCTAAACACCCTTGCCGTAGATCCCAAGCTGCAGGGCTGTTCTGCTCTGTAGGTGCCTCACTGGGTCAGAACCCACATCGTTGTATTATTTAGAACAAAGAAACAACTGAGCCACGGGAGCCAGCAGATGTATGTAGCTTCCGCAATTGTGGCTCAGCCTCCGTCATTGGATAAGATTTCTATTCCTCGTGGGAGAAGAACCGTGCAAACGGATGCAATCGCCAAGGTTCGCGGATAGTTACTCACGAGTGATGCGGAAAGGCACCCTAGTGAGTGTCTCTCCCCCACCATCAACATCATTAGCAGCTATTGTTTATTTTTTCCTTCTCCCCAAGCCTGTCACTTTATCAAGACGCTGTACTCCGGCATACTGCCCTCGCCGGTTTCCCGAATGGAGAAAGATGTGGTTAGAATTCTGTGATCGGGAGCCTAAGTGCATTGTCCCCGCAATGGCCACATCCATCAGTGCGCGACAAGAGAAAACCTGAGCTGCCTACAGATGTTCTCCCAGGCCCGTTTTTTTTCTTTTTTCTTTTTCTTTTTCTCTTTCTTTTTCCTTTCTCCCTCTCCCTTTCCTTTTCTTTTTCTCCCTGAAACGTTGCTTGAAAAATATTCCCGACCATCCGTTCAGACTACTAACTAGCCCGTGACATTTTCCGATTCTTCCTCCCACATGTGGTATTCGCCAATGGATTGGGACTAGGACGACTGCTGGAGGATCCTAGACCTGAGTTCAATAAGAGACCACCGACCGCCGGGTTTGTCCCTTGAAACTCTTCCCATTCATACCCTTTTTCAAACGATTCTCAACACCGAGTCCGAAGCAATGTAAAGTCACATAAACCTTTGCTTTGAGGCTTGTACAACTCGAGTCCGATACCCATGCTAAAGCCACGCTGAGCAAACAACCACCCTGTCCAATAAAAGAATGCTAGACTTGGCCGCTGCACCATAAGGGATTCTCCTTGCGTGTCCCCACAGTCAAGGCGTTAAAAATGAAGTTTCTTGGGGAGTGAGACGCAAGACCTCGTGGGAGGTTTGCCCTCGATCGATCGAGCGGCCCGGTGCTGCACTTTGAAGCACAACCTGCGAGCGTGAAGCCCATTACTTTCTCATAAGCGAGGCACTGTAGACTCGCCCGCAACGCTCGAGTTGTGGGAAACTGAGAACTGCAGGGTCTGCTTTCCTTCCAAAACTCCTGATTGGCAAACAGTGACTTTGCCCAGAGGTACATGGTCAGTGCATGAGCCTAGTTGAGCCAATTCCCCCAGCTCTGCTGAGCACTGGAAGATCAAAGTGCCCACTATTGACCTGACCGATCCCGGAACACTCGGAGCGCTATACAGCCATCCAAATGAAAGCATCAGCCCAGATAAATCTATAATCTGGCAAATAACATCGCAGAGAGGGTTACAGGAAGTCTGAGAAAAGTTAGAAATTTCCAGGGCAGTAAGCTTGGTGTGATTGTCCAACATATTGTCGCGGCCGAACCTAGGAAAACTCGAGCCACCGGAACCAAGAAAATCATATGGCGCACTGGAAATGCGAGCATGCAAATGATAGGCGCGGAAGCACAACAAAATTAATATAGTCGAGTGTATCGTGGCGGAAAGCGCAACAGGCATACCCTTAAACTTGATCGCTAATGGGTAACATGCAATTCTACACCTTAGTAAAATACTCATGGTAAGTGCTCATGGTAGGATGCCGGTTTCCTACCTCCCGAGGTTAAGAATCCTTTCCAATAGAGGGAAAATCTAAAATTTCAGAAAAAGTTGCTTCCAATCGCTGGAAACACGGCTCTAGAATGGTTTTTAACCCCTACCACTCCCACGAAAGCCTTATTTTGAAGTAAGCCACGCTTACAGAGCCGGAATGCCTTTAAAACAACGCACATGACGAAAGATTCCACCAATCAAACAAACCGGCCCCTAAAAAAAAAGTATTGCGCAGACAGAAAATGACAGAGGAAAGGATGACTTGAGTAAATTCTCTCAGCACATGCCGCACCATCTAGAGAAAGGTTGTTTTGTTTCGTTTTTCTCTCGTAATTGCTTAATTGGTACAGGGACAAAGAAGAGGAGTAAGGAAATCACCAGACAGAGCACTGGCAGAAGTATTAGTTAGCTCTCAAGTTCATTCCCAAGGAGGTTAAGCAAATTCCCATCAAATCAGGAGCTTGTAACAAGATTCGGTGGGGGAGCGAACCGGTAATCGAGATACATACGGCGGCCAAAATACTAAGTCACTTATTACCGCCTCACCAAATCCCGACGCCGAAATACGACAGTTTACTAAAATCCAAACAATGTCGAGGCATAAAGCCCTTGTGCAATACGCCAGATCACACTGATTAACATATTTGTCTCGGGAGTTCTCGGTCCAAACATCCCAACCTAGCGACTCCATCAATCCTGCAATGCCACAGCAACGGTTCCAGGAGTTAGCGTGGTGGAGATAGGGTTGACCTGTGAGGAACAAAATTCCTGGAAGAGAAAATTTGGGATTGGACATGGTACTCACCCCTAAGCACTTCTCGCGGAGGATTGAATGCACTCTTTTTTCACCCAGCCCTCTTCCCGGTGTTGACGTAACACATCCAAAGAATTCCTGAGTGAGAAGATGCACCCGCCGATGAGTAGCCTCATTCAAACAGATCACTTGTCAAGTGTATGAGAGGGTAAAAAAAATAAGGGTGGTAGGTGATTAATGAGAAAAGGTTTTAGACGAACCTATACAAAGCGCGAGCTGCCCATACCCGATAGCTGCATCAAGAGCTTGGATCAAGAGGTACAGATGGAACTGTCGGGATGCGCCAAGGGAAGTTGCCGCATGATTGAAAAAATGTGCGGGTGATCTGTCGTGGAGGTCTTTTTTAGCCAGCAAGACCCAAGTCTCCCCTCTTAATGCGGAAGGGGTTCTTCTGGGTTTTCTATTATGTCTCAGCCGCTTTCATGGTGTCGGTGCGTGCGTGTGAACATTGATGGTGAAGAACCCGGAGGTGTGAGGTTGGAACAAGTGTATCATACCCAGAATCACCTGATGACTAATCCAATGATAGGCTACTCACTAGTCATCACTCGTCAACCTCCTCCAGACTACTGGATTCAGAATTACCATAATTGGGAATCGAATAAAGCAAAATCAGTTGAGATGAGAGGGGATATTCCAGGTATGCAAATAACTGCAGGCACTCTCAG